TCACATTCAGTACATTAAATATTAATAAAGAGCCTTAGTCACCGACTCAAAACACTGTAATAGCTTTTTTGAAATAGTTATTCTTATTTTGAAAATATGTGCATATATTCAGTCCATCCCTGTATATGCAGCTGCTGTTTTAGTATTTCTGACTCCCTCATAACACCATTTCATGGTGTGAACTTTAGCTATGTTGTCTGCCCATCAGTTGTTTGATTACATTCTTAGACCTGCTCCTGGAGCAGTATTCAAGCAACGGACCAGAACAGTACTGCTAAATCCGACACCATCCAGTGGCCAATATGGAGGATGTGTTCTTTCACTCAGGCTCATCCCTCTTCATCAGTTACATTTTATGCTCACATAAAGGGAAATGAATGCATATGCAGGTCCCTGAAACAAATCGAAGCTATTTATGTGGGCTAAATGCACACATGATTTTACAGAAACAGTATGAAATAATTGAGAACATTCTATTTATTTTAGCTTACCTACTACAGCCACCTATCAAATTTTGGTATTCCTGGGTGACACTGAAATGTAAAAGTTCATTGCACAGAAGTCAAATTATGCTTTAGATTCCCTTTTCTTCACCGTAAGCCTTAATCTTAGCAAAAAAATATAGCTCTCCATTACAGGCAAAATGCTAAGGAATGTATTTTTTTTTTTAGAAAAGTTTATTGTGTTACAGGTTTTTGTTTTTTTTTTTTTAACTGGTCCACCTAATCAAATCTTGTTGCTGTTGTGTTTGTACCTATATTTTACCTCATCTTTAAAAAAGGGTGTCCTGGTTCAAGCTCTTCTATTAGCTGCCTGGGATGTACAGTTCCTTGAAAAAGTATTCATACCCCTTGAAATTTTCCACATCTTGTCATGTTACAACCAAAAACTTAAAATTTCTTTTATTGGGATTTCATGTGATAGACCAACACAAAGTGCCACATAATTGTGAAGTGGAAGGAAAAATGATAAAAATATTTTCAAAATTTCTGTACAAATAAATATCTGAAAAGTGTGGATTGCATTTGTATTCAGCCCTCCTGAGTCAATACTTTGTAGAACCTCCTTTCACTGCAATTACAGCTGTAAGCCTTTTTGCATATGTCTCTACCAGTTTTGCATTAATATAGATAGAGAAATATTTGCCCGTTCTTCTTTGCAAAATAGCTCAAACTCTGTCAGATTGGATGGAGAGCGTCTGTGAACAGCAACAGCTCTGGCTGTATGTTTAGGGTCATTGTCCTGCTGGAAGGTGAACCTCCGCCCCAGTATTAAGTCTTTTGTAGACTCTAACAGGTTTTCTTCTTAGACTGCCCTGTATTTAACTCCATCCATCTTCCCATCAAATCTGACCAGCTTCCCTGTCCCTGCTGAAGAAAATCAACCCCACAACATGATGCTGCCACCACCATGTTTCACGGTGGGGATGGTGATGTGCAGTGTTAAGTTTTCTGCCACACATAGCATTTTGCTTTCAGGCCAAAAAGTTCAATTTTGGTCTCATCTGATCAGAGCATCTTCTTTCACATGTTTGCTGTGTCCCCCACATGGCTTCTTGCAAACTGCAAACAAGACTTCTTATGGCTTTCTTTCAATAATGACTTTCTTCTTGCCACCCTTTCATAAAGGCCAAATTTGTGGACTAATAGTTGCCCTGTAGACAGATTCTCCCACCTGAGCTGTTGATCTCTGCAGAGTTAACTCTCCAGAGTTACCATGGGCCTCTTGGCTGCTTCTCTGATTAATGTTCTCCTTGCCCGGCCTGTCAGTTTAGGTGGACGACCATGTATTGGTATGTTTGCACTTGTGCCATATTCTTTCCATTTTCAGATGATGGATTGAACAGTGCTCCATGAGATGTTTAAAGCTTGGGATATTTTTTTTTATAACCTAACCCTTCTTTAAACTTCTCCACAACTTTATCCCTGGCCTGTCTGGTGTGTCCCTTGGCCTTCATGATGCTGTTTGTTCATTAATGTTCTCTAACAAACCTCTGAGGGCTTCACAGAACAGCTGTATTTATACTGAGATTAAATTACAAACAGGTGGACTCTATTTACCAATTAGGTGACTTCTGAAGGCAATTGATTCCACTAGATTTTAGTTAAGGGTATCAGAGTAAAGGGGGCTGAATACAAATGCACACCAAACTTTTCAGATATTTATTTGTAAAAAAAGTTTTTTTAATTATTTATCATTTTCCTTCCACTTCACAATTATGTGCCACTTTGTGTTGGTCTATCACACAAAATCCCAATAAAATACATTTACATTTTTGGTTGTAACATGACAAAATGTGGAACATTTCAAGGGGTATGAATACTTTTTCAAGGCACTGTATACACACTGTATACAGAGTGGAAAAGCTCGCTATCTGGAAGCAATGGTTTTACTGCAGACGTCTGACAATTCATGCTGAGGCAGACCTATAGCTCTGGAACCAGAAAAGTTCATACTCTCTGCTACTGGACAGCTATGGCTCTGACCTGAGAAGGGAAAGCAGAGAGACCATTGCCATCACACAAAGAGCAAGGATCCTGCTCTAACGCATATTGGCTAAAGATAAGATTTGCTACCCAGGCTATTGGTTCTCTCTTTATAAAGCGAACCTAGAATGTATTTGGTGGTTGTTAAAGTTAATTTAGGCTTTAACCACTTCCTGTCCAGCCCATCTACATAAACAGCTGGACGGGAGCAGTGCCGAAGCGGGTGGCCGTTTATAAACGGCCCCCGCATTCACTGCCTGTGCGCTCTCCCTGGGAGCACGTGGCACCGTGACACAGTGCCCGCTGTGTCCTCCAGACACAGCTTAACACCGATCACTGTACGGGACCCTCTGTGTGAGGTCCCAATTTAATGTGATCCCTGACTGGCCAATCAGCGATCACATAAATAGTAGTAAACAAGATGTCATTTCCGGACATCATTGCTTACTACTAGTGATATCTGAATGATCAGAGGTCACATGGTACAAGGCTATTCACAACAGCCTTGTACCATGTGGCAAGCTGTGACCAATCACAGCTCTCACAGTATTTCTCAATGGCTACAAGAATGCAGCTAGAGAGAAGTAGAAATGATTGCTTTTACAACCTTTATGGGTGTAAAAGCAATTAGTGTATAAAAAAAAAAAAAAAAAAATCTTTATCACCCTCCCACAAGTAGTACAGTGTCACTATGGTGACATTGTACTGCTGGGGTGATGGTATGTTAAAAAAAAAAAATAATAATAATATATAAAAATGTAAAATAAAAAGAAATTTTTGAAAAATTATAATTTTTGGTTATAAACTATTTTGGGTTATTTTTTTTTTTTTTACTAAAAAGATAGCTGAATACATTTTGGCCAAGATTTATGAAGAAAGATTATTTGCAACATTTTATAAGAAAAAAACTCTTTTTTTTCCAAAATGTTTGGACTTTTTCATTTATCCTAGATTGTAAGCTCGAAAGAGTAGGGCCCTCTTACCCCTCGTACGTTGTTTGTTATTGTTGTACTGTGCCATGTATTGCCCCCCCCTATTGTACAGCGCTGAGCAAACCCTTTGGCGCTATATAAACTCAATGTAATAATAATATAGCAAAAAAATTAAAATCAAAGGGATGAATAAATACCACCAAAATAAAGTTTTAGCTGTCTAAAAAAAAAAAAAAAAAGCTAAAAAAATTCATATGGGTACAGTGTTGCAATTGTCATTCAAAGTGTGATAGCGCTGAAAGCTGAAAATTGGCCTGGACAGGCAGGGGGTGAAAGTGTCCAGACTTGAAGTGGTTAAGCAAGCAGTACAATTTAGGAGTCTTGTGTTTAAAAAGTGATCTAACACTTCACCATGATTCAAGTTTTATATTTTTTTGTTTTGGAGGATTTATCGTGACATTTTTTGACTATTAAACTCCCTGGCGATATTCCAGAGTGTAGCTCGGGGTAAAGTTTCAGTACCAAAAGCAGTAACCCCGAGCTACACTCAGGAATACCATGAAGCATTGCTCTGGGATTCCCTGCAGCACTTACCTTGTCCTGCGCTCCCGCAATGTGTCCCCTGCAGCGTCCCTGGCCAGCTCCTCCGGCCGTTGCCGACATACGTCTTCCGGTCCCTGCGAGCGTCGGGACGTATGGGACGTACGTGGGCCGGAACCGGCAGGAGATTTGAAAATTTCAAAAACTGACATTCACAAAATACACTAAAATCACATAGTAAAACATTACTGTATCAAACCATTTCACATACATTTTGTCCCGAGTGCTTTGTCCTGTGCCCTGCCTGCATTTCTACTGTTCTTTCTGCCTGGAAACTGAGAAACGTCCATGGCGTCCAAAAAGCGTCCCTTTAGATCAAAAGCGGTTTTAGACCAGCTAGAGAACAGCGATAGTAAATCAGAACCACTTGCAGAATTGAGTGATGATTTGTGGGGAAATTCGTCATCAGACACTGAAAACGATTCTACGACTGAGCTCCGTGATGTGCAAACTTGGCGCTATATTTCAAATTTCAGTGTTTTTGATTTGATTATATTATTGAATTAAATTTATTATATTATATTATAATTTATGAATTCGTGTTTCAAGTTTTATTATACCCGGTATGTTTACTACTCGTTTGGACAGATTTCAGTGAGTTATTCCTAAAAATTACAGGCCTACAATAAAAAAAAACTACATATTTCCATGCAAAAAAATGTACCGCTTTGAGCACAGAAATATGGACATAATCATACCACTAGGGAGGTTAATAAAGAGGTAAAATGAGATCCTCCTGTAGTTTGCTATGTTTGGCAAGCGTGAATACCACGTGGGGAGAGATAGACAGCTTCTTAAACCCAGGAATCTTTCCTAGGGTTAGTTATATGCTTTTGGAAATGTTTGGGTCATATCCCCTACACCTGTTAATAGGTGATCTGGTGCTCAATTTCCAAATTCCCTGTTGGGGGTTATCTTGTTTTAAAAAAAATTTAAGGCAGAAAAAGAGTCCATCGAGTGAAGTATCATCTTAAGAGCTTACCTGAGCCAAGCAGCTTGGTATGTACAGTCTCATGAAAGATAATGACTCCAGGACCCAGTGTTGAAAGAGGCACATCTAAACCACAACGTGCTGTAGTGGCTTTCAGCTCTTTAGTAAAATGTTTCAAGTAGGCTTCGGAGGCATCACCAAGAAACTTGAATAGGTCATTGTGTAAACGATCAGCATGAGTTCTATAGATAACTAGATCAGAAATGGCTAAGACTTTGAGCAGTAAACGTGTCCTCTGACTCAGGTTGACAGTAGCTCCAAGCAGTCCTTCTGTGTCAATGACCACAACCTTATGGACAGGATCGAATGCAGCCCAGACACCAACCGTGCAGGACTCCTGAGCCGGGGAGGTCTTAAAAACTTCACGCCCATAGAAAAACGTATGGTTAAGAGTATGTGACTTCCCGTCACCAGTGTTTCCGAATATTGACACTACTTTCAGTAGATTATCTGTGCTGCAATCCAGTTTTTTCACAAATTCATCTTCATCCTCCACCTTAGGAATCAAGCAAAAGCCAAGTTACACACCACTGTAATTTTATAGTATGTTATATAGCAAAATATATTTATTTAAATATAGAAACAAAAATATACTGGAAATAAAACCCAAATTTATTTTCGGCTGTTTATAGGACAGTAGGAATTCCTCAGCATTGCATGCAGGCATCAGGACACTACCTGCAAACAGTTCATATTTGCAAATTTAGTCTCAATACATATTTAAAGGAGAAAGTCCACACAAAACTGTTTTGAAAGTAGATGATTGGAAGTTAACCCTTCTGTGCCAACTGCCTCCTTGCCCTTTAAGGGTTTTATAAGCCTGGAGTCAGAGGCGGGGATTCAGGTCATGTGACTGCTGTGATTGGTTGTAAGAGGACTCACATGATCGGAAAGCTCCCAATCGCAAGTATGCATCAGGAGCTTACCAGAATCTGCCGGTTACCATGCTGAGAGCGTGCAGGGAGCATGCTCTTATCACAGTATGTAGTTTCAACAGGGCTGTATATATGCCGGCATTACAGACCACCTGACAAGCAGCTGTATATATGCTTACTGCCGGCGCCAAGAGGTTAAAATAGCTGATGGTTTCTAAGGACTCATTCACACTGGCAAAAAAAAAAAAAAAAAAATGCTGTGCTTAGATGTGCACAGTGCATAATTTTGTGTGCATCTAAACTCAGCACTGCAGTAGCCAATGAGTCCATACACACAGCTATGTCTACATGGCAAAAAAAGTGCCCTGTGTTTAGTCGCGAATTAATAAAAAAAAAAAAAAAAAAAAAAAAAAAGCAGGACTTTGATCTCTGCAGATTTTTCGCACATACAAGTGTAGACTTTTCATTTAAATTAAAGAATTGTATGCGCTTAAACTAATTTTGTGCCAGCTCTGCAAGCAAGAACCTGTGTTCATGCAGAAAATATGCATATGCCATTGTGAATGGACTCCAATAGAGCTTTGAGATTTCAATGGCAATGACCGCTATAAGGAGACTTTATTTGAATGCCTTTTTTTTCCTTTTTATTATTTAGAATGACCCAATTTATCTGACCAGGTGTTTTTTTACTAGAAAATTACTTCGAACCAACAAACATTATATATATTTTTTAACAGAGGCCCTAGAGAATAAAATGGTTGATGTTGCAATTTTTGATGTTACACAGTATTTTCACAGCAGTTTTCAAAAGCAATTTTTTTCTGCAAAAAAATACACTTAAATTAATTTTGTTTCACACAAACACTTTAACATACCTAATTTTTGTTAAAATGTTTTTTTTTAAAAATGTTACACCGAGTAAATAGATAGCCAACATGTCACGCTTTAAAATTGCATACACCTGTGGAACGACGCCAAACTACGGTACTTAAAAATCTCCATAGGCAACGTTTTAAAAGCCTTTACAGGTTAGGGGGCATATCATTCTGCCACCCGTTGTTCAGCCACTCGAATCACTTCTGATTAAAAGAATTGGAGGGCAGAAAATTTTGATACCAGGATGATGCTATCATCACTTCAACCCAAGGGCGTCATATGATATCCTAAGGGTGGGAAATAGTTAAAGTGATATAAAATCTTAAATTTTTTTTAAATGACATAACAAACATGTTATACTTACGAGTTATACTTACCAGTTAACAAAGCAGCCCCGATCCTCCTCTTTCCAAGTCCCCCCACCAGAGCTGCTGGCCCCTCCTCTTCAGTGAGTGCCCTCATAGGCAACTGCTTCCTATGGGGGCACACATTCAGGCTTACTCCCCAGCCACCTTGCCTGTATCTATAGACACAGTGTGGCTCAGCCCCACCCCCAGCTCCCTCGTCACAGAATTTGATGAACATGCTACTATCAATCTGCCCACTGAGGAGGGAGAGCCGAGAGCACTGCTGCTTTCGGGCACAGCACTGGATATCGGACTCTGCCAAGTATATGGGGGGTGAAGGGAAGAATCCTCTGCCACAGAAGATTTTTTATCTTAACCACTTCAAGTTCGGACACTTTTACCCCCTTCCTGTCCAGGCCAATTTTCAACTTTCAGCGCTATAACATTTTGAATGACAATTGCGCGATCATGCAACACTGTACCCACATGAATTTTTTTGAGACAGATAAAGCTTTATTTTGGTGGTATTTATTCACCACTGGGATTTTCATTTTTTTGCTATATAAAATGAAAAAGTCCAAAAATTTTGAAAAAAAAAGTTTTTCTTATAACATTTTGCAAATAAATAATATTTCATCATAAATCTTGCCCAAAATGTATGTTATCTTTTTAGTAAAAAAAAAAAATAAATAAAATAACCCAAAATTAGTTTGACAAAAAATATTTTTTTTTTTTATATTATTTGTTTTTTTTTCTACATACTGTCACCCTAGCAGTACAGTGTCACCATGGTGACACTGTACTACTTGTGGGGGGTGATGATTTTTTTTTTTTTTTTTTTTTTCAACACTGATTGCTTTTACATGCATAAAAAGGCTGTAAAAGCAATCATTTCTCCTCTCTGGCTGCATTCTTGCAGCCATTGAGATCTACTGTGTGAGCTGTGATTGGTCACAGCTTGTCACATGGTACAAGGCTGTTGTGAATAGCCTTGTACCATGTGACCTCTGTGATCATTCACAGATTTCACACGTAGTAAGCAATGATGTCAGAAGTGACATCTTGCTTACTACTCTGCATGTGATCACTGATTGGCCAATCAGTGATCACATGATCGGGACCTTGCACAGAGGTCCTGTATGACGATCGGTGTTCCACTGTGTCCGGAGGACACAGCGGGCACCGGATCGCGGTGCTGCGTGCTCCCAGGTAGCGCACAATGGCAAATGACAATGTCACAAAATGGCAATGACACAATGACAATGACAATGTCCAAAATGGCAGGTGCCGTTTATGAACGGCAACCCACCCCTAGACTGCCACTGTCTGGCCATTTATATACAGTGGCCGGACAGCAAGTGGTTAATGCATTAAAAGGTAAAAAAAACCTTAAGGCTTTAGAACCACTAATAGGGTAATGCACAGATGTGTAACGTGCAGTAAAACCATAGGAACCAACCAAAATCATCTCTCAGCTTAAAGGATAAGTACACCTTTGGGAATATGTTACAGGTTATACCCTTATTTAGGGTGGAACGTGTAACATGTCCCTGCTCCTGCAGTGGCTTGGCAACACAAGTCCTCTGTGTGACAGAAGTACAGGGAGAAGTGCCCTGTACCAGCTGTCACTTTTTGAAATGAGCGTGCCAAGCAGGGCTCCACCTACACGGCCAAATCATTCAGAGTTCTGTGAATGAATCAACTTTGAATCCTTTGCAGATGTCGGCTTGTAGTCCCCAGTGAACTACCAATAATGTCCGTTTATGATTTCATTTTTAAAAAGGTTAGCTTGTGCTTTAAATGACTCCAGTAAATTGAAACTGGATTAGTTGTTCTGAAATGGTAACCTTTGCACAATTTCTCTTTTCACATGTAAATGAGCAGCTATCAGGTTAATACTTTACCAGAAAATGTATTGATACTCTCCATGACTCAGCCTTATGTATGAATGCACCACAGGTAGTGGAAAGTTGCTTGTTAAAAACAGAACGACTGGTGCATAGACACACAAACATTTTTCTATAACCTGAAAAATGTCTTCTGCCTTAATGATATATGATGGTGAGAAGTACTCGTTAATACCCTCCATGGCCAAACTTCAAAGCTTCAGAAACATCAAAACATTGGGTTTCCATAGTCTTTAAAGTGTTACTAAACCAAGGACCCTGCATTCACTATATCTGCTCTTACACAGAACATGGAAATGCAATTATTTTAGTAAATATAAACTGCTAAATATCTTTTCTCAGCAGCAGAGCACTGTCTCATCAGCAGAGCAGTAGCATTCTTGTGACTTCTATCAGTGTCCAGCAGAGCACTAGTCAAAGCTTGTAGGAGGAATTTTCATTCTCCTTTGAATGTCCTATGAAGCTGCATAACCCCTGACCCTCTGTCTGGACAGCGCTGATTGACCCTGGGCTGATCACATGCACTCTCCCAAGGGAAAAAAAAAAAAAACTCTCTAAATACAGACTAAACTGAGCATGTGCAGCTTGCCCCCAAGGCTCTGTTCTACCAGCAGATGGATTGGAGACTTTAGAAGAAAGGAAGGATCAGAGAAGACAGGATCAAACATCCTTTTTACACAATGTGGAGGATTAACCCCTTAGGTTCCACAGTGAGTATAACAAGCATGCTTTGCTGCATATACAGACTGATTTTACTGTTGTGGGCTTAGTAACACTTTAACATTAAGAGGACTATTTATAAAAAAAAAACTTTCAGACAAGATTCTCCCAACTTTCAGCCAGGATACACACTTTTTTCCAATAAAATCCAGTGGGAAAAAGGTGTTTATTTTGGTTGAAGTTTGTTTGTGAAAAAACAATCAAGACATCTAAATATAATGCTAGCAGGCTGTATTTTCTGTACATACTCAAATCCTCACCATCAGGAATGACTGCTAAACTCAGGAGAGTACTGAAGCATATGCTTTAGGTCCCAGTGCTTAATCTAATGAGTCTCTAGGCCCTGTAGACACCCAAGTTCTTTTCCTTGCATTTATCTGCCATAGCAGTGCAAACAAAAACAGAATTTTATATTATAATTTATTTATTTATTTATTTTTTTTTTAAACACACACACACACACCTATATCACTGCGGTCTACAAAAGGAATGACAGATAGTAGGATTCCATATGTAGATGTGAGACATTTCCTCTTATATGATATATGATGCAAGAGTAAATGTCACAATATATGAAAAAGCTTGAACCGACCCATAGGAACTTACCTGAATTTGTTCGGTCTCGTCCACTAGAAGAAAACTGACAACTTTCTCCGTCATCCTTTTTCTTCTCAGTTCCTCATCCATCTTTCCTCCTTCTTGAGATTCTGGGGTGTTCATGGTTTGGTAATAGGCCAATGGATGCTTTCTTTTGTTCCCTCCAGAATGATTACGTTTTTGACAGTCGGCGCAGAGGTCAACTTTACAAGGGCCGCACCTCACCACTGCCCGCTGTCTAGTGCCGTTTGTGCTATTGTGCATAGTAGTCGCTGCTTTACAAAAGGAGCAGAAAGGGACATAACCAGGTGGTATGCGGTTTTCTCTCATGATTTTGAAGTTTCTCTTGTTTGTGCAAAGCTTCCTCACATCGCTGACACTGTAAGCTATTACACTCATCACATTCAAATACGGCTGCATTATTGCCAGAACAGGCAAAGTTTTCTTGGCAGGTTAATCCGGCTACAACAGATTTTTCAGACATCGCCCCCTGGGTGCTCATCTTCTATCTATGGGTAAACACCTAGATGAATTCAGACTGCAAAGAAAAACTATGCCCAGATTTAAAGATGATCTCAGCAACTTTACCAAAGGAAAGCGATCCTAATTATGCTGATAATCATGAATTCCTAACTTAGTACCGAACTACGATGATATTACCAACTACACGGAGAATCACAGATTGGAATTATGATGAAAATAATATACATCCAATGTTTCCAATTCTGTTTACTTTTGAAAACTCTAGACAGCTACGCTAAAACAGAGGCTGGATATATAAACCAACCTTAAAAATAAAACAAAATTATTATTAATAATAATAATAATGATCCTCTAAAACATTGATCACAAACTTCAAAAACTAGCAATGAACAATGGAAAACACCAGGACAGATGTTGTTTTAGAGTGAAAAAAAGGCAAAGGGTTTCATAAACAAAAAAGCCAAAGGATTAAAATGACCCGTGACAAAAACAAGGCTTCAGTCTGGAGTAGTGACACCTGAGATGTAACTTCCTGCTTTGACAACGAATGTGTCATTAGGCAGTAGGTCCAGTGTTACCAGGAAGAGGAGTCATCTAATTATTGTTTATATGTTGCTGGTAAATAAGTGTTCCTCCTGGCCCAAAACAGTTGTCCTTTCAAATCAAAAATCAGTTAGATTAAAAAAAAAAAAAAAAAAGAAAAAAAAAAGGAAAATCAAATGGCAATTTCCTTGAGATATATCAACAAACAGACTGCAGATAGTGAGCGTTTACTGTGGGAGTCTTGCGAGGCCCCTGTCCCAGACAGGCGGGAGTCTTGCGAGGCCCCTGTCCCAGACAGGCGGGAGTCTTGCGAGGCCCCTGTCCCAGACAGGCGGGAGTCTTGCGAGGCCCCTGTCCCAGACAGGCGGGAGTCTTGCGAGGCCCCTGTCCCAGACAGGCGGGAGTCTTGCGAGGCCCCTGTCCCAGACAGGCGGGAGTCTTGCGAGGCCCCTGTCCCAGACAGGCGGGAGTCTTGCGAGGCCCCTGTCCCAGACAGGCGGGAGTCTTGCGAGGCCCCTGTCCCAGACAGGCGGGAGTCTTGCGAGGCCCCTGTCCCAGACAGGCGGGAGTCTTGCGAGGCCCCTGTCCCAGACAGGCGGGAGTCTTGCGAGGCCCCTGTCCCAGACAGGCGGGAGTCTGTCGAGGTCTCTGTCCCAGACAGGCGAGAGTCTGTCGAGGTCTCTGTCCCAGACAGGCGAGAGTCTGTCGAGGTCTCTGTCCCAGACAGGCGAGAGTCTTGCGAGGTCTCTGTCCCAGACTGACAAGATCCTTCAGGAACACTTCTTCAGCTCCTCCTTCAGTGTTGTGGGGTCACTGTCACCTGGATGGGACCAGCGGGGAGAATCCAGCTCCACCTATTAAACTTCAGGCCAGCCAGGTGACCTATGTATATGTAAGGCTGGGGATCAGTGACAACCCGGGGATCAGTGACAACCCTGGGAGCAGCTGTCCTCAGGCGAGGTAAATAATCAGGAGAGGGCAGGCAGTGTAGCATAGGCCACAATGGGTTTAATATGGAAGATCCGGCTCTTTGCACCCCTTAGCAGGCTGAGCCAGGACCCCCGGCATCCCCTCCTGAGGAACGATCCTCCGCACAGCTATTGTTTACAAGAGAAGCCGGCAGTGACTCAGGGATCCCAGACAAGGTCCTTCTGGACACGGGCCACAGCTTCCCGCCTACAACGGGCACAAGGTTACCGGGCGATGAGCGAACACCGTCATGAAGAGGGGGTGACAGCTGCTCTCAGATCGGGGCCCCCCCGACACCTCCAATCAGCTGATCGTCCTGAACTTCCAGCTTATTTACCGTGACAGAATTGAACATGTGACGTCATGGGAGGGCGGGGTCGGGGATGGCCGGGAGGTGTAGTTTTCCCGTCCTCCTCGCTGGTGTGATCAACAGACACGGAGGACTTCCTTACCCATCATGCCGTGCGGCGAGCGGAGGACGATGGGAATCTTAGTTTCTACTGACCAATGGTTATGGGATGTGGACATGTCATCATCCTGCGATGTGTTCATACTGAGCTGCGTGTATACATGTCCAATACACAGGAACCCTTCATGGCTCCCACAGACTAGAGTGTCCCTACAGGCAGAACGTTTCCTTGTGGACAGAGTGGAGCATAGTTGACGACATTTCAAAAACAATTTTAGGGACACTTTTTCCCTGTATGTCCAGAAAGACAGTGTAGGCGGAGCAGTATGTTAATTAAGTGCGGGGCATTCACTCATGGGTGTGGCTTACCATGAAAAAAGTGCCAAAGCGCACCAAGCCAAAAATGGGTGTGGTTTAAATTATGCTAAATATCGGGCGTGGCTTAAAGGAGGCGTGGTTAAACAGAGTCTGAGATTCTCTTGGGCTATTCCCATGCAATTTTGCTCTCCACCCCAACATCCCAAAAAACAAACACAATCATAGACTTATCTAAAAAAAACAAATAATCTACATATAAAAAACTGGTCCACACACTGGTTGCTAGAGGTTAGTGCACATCATTATTGCTCACTGATTGGTTCCTAGAGGTTATTGCAGTTAGTACAGGACTATGGTCAGAGACTGCAGGAGTACTACAGGAGAGGGTCAGAGACTGCAGTTGTAGTACAGGACTATGGTCAGAGACTGCAGGAGTACTACAGGAAAGGGTCAGAGACTGCAGTTGTAGTACAGGACTATGGTCAGAGACTGCAGGAGTAGTACAGAAGAGAGGGTCAGAGACTGCAGGAGTAGTACAAGAGAGGGTCAGAGACTGCAGGAGTACCACCAGCCTAGAGCAACTAAAAAATAAAAATGTTCCTGTGTCCATTTGCTATGCAGGAAGGGGGGGAAGCAGCAGACTGGGGATTATTTTTTTCATTTTTGGGGCCGTTGAACTAATCTGCAGTGCAGAGGCTCCCATGAATTAAAGCAATGTCCCAGCCTTTTCTACATCAATCTGCCATGGCAATCTGATACAAAAGTGGCCAGGAGTTTTGTTTATTATTAAGAAAAAGCGGCACTGCAGATTAGTCCGCTGGACCCAAAAATTAAAAAATAGTCCCCAGTCTACCGCGGCCCCCTTTTCCACACAGCAAATGACAACAAAAAAGTTTTTAATTTTTTTCACTGCCTAGGCTAACATAGAATTAAGAAGCACTATCTGCGGCTGTCCCTGCCCTGATCTCAGATTTATGGCTGGGACTGAGCAATGGGTAATCCATGACAGTTGGCAACTATGGTGGAGATAGATTAGACCACCTGTCAGGTTTTTATTGCTGTTAGTGCCCCCATTAGGGAGAGTCACCCTCTCTATCCTGTTTACTGTTTATACTCTAGTGTGAAAGTAATGAGGACCCTAGCTGTGGGAGGTGGAAACCCATCACCACTGTGGGGGCGAAGAAGGGAGGGATAGGGGAGCACGCAGAAGCCTGGGGCAGCAGGACAGGGATAGGGAGGCAAGGGGACAGCATGTAGAGCAACCAATGCCCTCCACGTCACTCTTGCAGCCACTGAATACCTGCGGGAGAGAGAGGAGGAGAAGCAGGCATTCAGTGCCTGCATGGAGGGATGGGTTCCTCTACATGCCACCACCTCCCCTCCTATCCATGTATGCAAGGGAACCGCATGGCCCCCTGGAGCATGGGGCCGGGTCACAATTGCAACCCCTGCGACCCCTGTACATACACCCTGCAAAAAAGTTGGGATGCTGTGTAAAATCTACATGAAGATGCAATGATGTGCAAATACCATAAACCCACCATCAATGCTGAGGGATATATCCAGGTTTTAGAGCAGCATATGCTCCCATCCAGACAAAATCTACAGGCGTACCTAGGTTTATGAATTTAATTTGTTCTGTGGGACTTTTCATATTGCGAAAAATTCGTAAACCAAAACACAGTTTCCCATAGGAATGCATTGAAAACCAATTAACCCGGCGTTCAAAACTCTTTATAAAGTGTACTTTAAAGGCATAAATACTGTACAGGGAAGGATTAAAAATAAATTTGTAAATGTATTGAAAACCAATTAATCCGTTCCAGAGGTAAAAAAAAAAAAGTAAAAAAATGTCTTATCTGTTCAAAACTCTTTATAAAGTGCATTTTAAAGGCATAGTACTGTACAGGGACATGATTAAAAAAAAAATCGTAAATGCATTGAGAAACCAATTAATCCGTTTGTATTGTGAAAAAAAGTTCATAAACCAAGGCATTATTTTCAATGGATTTTCATTCATAAAAATTATTAAATAATGTTAACCGAAGCATTCGTAAACCGAGGTACGCCTGTATTTCAGAGAAGGCCTTGCATATTTCAGAAGAATAATGCTAAACCGCACACTCCATCTATGACAACAGCATGACTTCGTAGTAGAAGAGTCCAGGTGCTTAACTAGCCTGCCTGCAGTCCAGAATTTCCACCAAATGAAAATATTTGGCGCATCTTGAAATGAAAAATACGACAAAGAAGACCCAGGACTGTTGAGCAGTTAGAAACCTATATGAGGCAACATTCCTCTTTCAAGACTCCAGCAACTGGTCTCCTCAGGTCCCAATCATTTATAGACTGTTGTTAAAAGAAGAGGGGATGCTACATTGTGGTAAACATGGCCCTGTGATAACTTTTTTGAAACATGTAGCTGCCATCATTTTCAAAACGACCTTATTTTTTCTTAAAATGGTACAGCAGATCGCAGGTGCAATGATAGAATTCTGCAGACTTTCAGTGCGCTGTCTGCTCATACCTCCCATATGGGTAGGCAGTTACTGATTGGCAGGAAGAATCAAAGAACTAAGAAAGCGCTCACTGGCATCCTCACAGTTCATTGAGAACTACAAGTTGTTGGTCACAATGGTTGATGGTACTTGTAGTCTTATTTCCACTAAGAGGATAAGCCAGCCATAAGTCACTAAACCTGGGAAATATATAACCGACGTGGGAATTTATCCTATTTCATAGCATGTAGCAACAGCCCTGAAGAAGGGAGAGTCTTTTCTCCCAAAACACGCTGGCTTGATGTACTTGTCGTTAATCGCAATAAATGCCTGCTAATCTACCATCAAAAGTGCATTCTTTGGACATCGGGCTCTCCTTCTTTTCTACTATTCCATGTGTACGTGTGGAAACGACCTCAAGGCCGTACCAGAAAGGTACCAGAAAGACAGCAGCCCAAACCCTAGGAGGGTTTACCACCAATATTCACCATTGGGTACAACTGACTGGAAGAACTTTCCCCTACCCACCCAATCAACCACGACCAGTGACTGATCCAGTCCGTCCAGTGCAGTCTTCAGCACAAACAAGGGAGATAACATGGCTTTCTATGGAGGTCATTCACACCTATGCTTTCCAAATGTGATGTGATTTCCAAAAGGGTCCTGTGCATGTCTGGTGCGATGCGTTACTTTTTGAGCCACATAGACTTAAAGTGTTAATAAACCCACAACAGTAAAATCAGTCTGTATATGCATGCTTGTTATACTCACTGTGGAACCTAAGGGGTTAATCCTTTGCATTGTGTAAAAATGCTGTTTGATCTTGACTTCTGTGATCCTCCCCTTCTTCCAGTGTCCCCCTCTTATTTTCTGATAAGACATATGTGTGGAGACGCTCTGCACATGGTCAGATTGGTGTGTATTGCGAGAGAGTTTTTTTTTTTTTCTTGGAAGAGTGCATGTGATCAGCACAGGGCCAATCAGCACTGTCCAGACAGAGGTCAGGGGTTCTGCAGAAAGAAAACGCTTGCTACAAACTTTAACCAGTGCTGTGCTGAACACTGATAGAAGTCACAAGACTGCTCTAACTGCTGATGAGAAAAGGTATTTAGCAGTGTATATTTACTAAAATAATTGCATTTTTTCATGTTCTGTGTATTGTGGGAGACCAGATATAGTGAATGCAGGGTTCTGGGTTTAGTAACACTTTAAATGGAAATAACAGTGAAAATGCATAGGTGTTAACATGCAATGCAAATTCAGTGCAAGATACACCTATTTCTAATGTCACAAAGTTAGCCAGAACAGAAATCACAGCTGTGTAAAATTGCTGCAGAATCGCATCACAAATGCTCCTGAAATTGCACTTGAAAAATGCAAAGAAATTGCACCGCATCAATTTTAACTAGGGCTTAAAATCACTAAGCTGTAACACAAGGATAAGGATAATTTTTGAACCATGTAACTGTCATTGTCAAATCTCATTGGACTCAATGGACAGTAAATTACTATTACTTATGGTTAGTGGTTGTGAAGGCTTAAGGTTTTTTACCTTCATGCATTCTATGCATGAAGGTAAGAAAACCCTCTCTGTGCAGCAGCCCCCCTAATACTCAACTAAGCCCCCTCTCCATCCAGCCATTGGCTTCCGCTGCTGTCAATCACAGCCAGTGAGCCAACGAGTAGAGAGAAGGGCGGTGTTCAAGCCGCGGCTCTGTGTGTGAATGGACACACGGAACAGCGGCTTGGGAACACTTCTGCTCTGGTGTCGCCATAGGGGCACCAGAAAGGAGGGAGGGGACAGGAGCACCGGCGGGGGATCCGAGAAGAGGAGGATCCAGGCTGCTTTGTGTGAAACCACTGCACACAGCAGGTAAGTATAGACATGTTTTTTTAAGCCTTTAGTATCACTTTAAATAAGGATTCTTTTCCCGGTGCTTTAGCGCTTTGAGCTGAGCCTATAGAACATTTCTTCTGCTATAAGGAACCTACCTGCTCACAAATGTTTTTATTCTAAGCCAACGTTTCACTTTAAGTGAATAAACTTCATAAATAAAATACATAAAATGAGGGGGTACATTTGTAGTTGTATGGTAATCTTCTTTATTATGTATGTAATACTTAGTTTAAGAAGCATGACAAAAAATAAATACAGGTCTGTACACTCATGTTGAAATGTATTAGCTTATCAAATGGAATGGTATTGAAATTTGGGGAGAATCTCCTCTTTATTCCTTGCTTTCCATCTTCTCTGCTACTCCCCTGGTAGAAGCCCGATTTGTGGGTGTTACTAATGTTAATCACAGGCAAAGCTCAGTTGCCACTATCCCCTGTTCAGTGAATGTGCCTGGAGAGTGAGCATGTTGGCTCGAAGGCTTGCACCCAGTCTCCCTATTCCAGCACTGTTTATTTGTTGCTAGAATGCAGGCAACCTGGGCTGGACAGTGTCATTGGTTGTTATGACACAAGTGGCTAACTGTGTCCTAACAACCGAGGATGCTGTCTGAGAGGGACCACTTGTGTCCTAGCAACCGATAAGACAGAGTAAGTGGAACAGGGAAACTCCTCTCCCTCTGCATGCCTAGTGACATTAAAGTAACTGGTTCCCTCTATTTTCATCTGGCGATCTGACCAGTAGCACACCTTCTGTAATGGAGTCCAACTGTGGAAGAAGGTACACAAAACACCTTTGGATAGAAGCATTGTCAGTCAGAATTTTCTTCAGTCAGGAGGGAGGGGAGTGTTAGATATACTAGCAGGTTTAAATACACTAACAAACTGAAGCCAAACTCCAGCTAATACTGTATATGCAGTTACAACAAGCAGTTTTTTCTTTTTTTTCGTTCTTTTTTTTTTTTTTAAAAAGGTTTACATAAATAAATAAAAGCTGTAAGTACCCCGTCAGAGTTAAATGGTTCATCTCAACCCTTTGACTGCTACATCTTTAAGATTGCTTGTTCTGTTGAAAAACATCAGACTTGCTGGCAGGATCACAAGGTGAAAATAAAGTAAAATAAAGCCTAAAAAAATGCTGTAATTTAATATATATTGCTTTTGAGTTTACTACTATTTTAATAAAATAACACTGGTTGTTGCCTCTGAAAAGCAGTCTGGGTGGATTGTTTTTTTCAGAGGGTGTTTGACAGGCAGTGAAGAAGCATTATGGTATGTCGAGCGGTTGGATGCTGCCCCATTCAGCTGAAAAGGCCACGGTCGGTGGGTAGTTCTGCCAGCCGAAAATGACTAGGGAGATCATTTTCACTGCAATGCACACACCCTTCATGCTGCCATTGCATCTTTAGGGGGAGAGGTTGGGCAGTAGAAACAAGGCTTAACCATGTGTTTTTCCCCCACCAAGTCGAAATGTAAACACAGCCCTAGAAAAAAGCTTGTCCCTCTGATACAGATCGCAGAAAAGGACTCTGAAATGTATTTATTTATTCAAACAGAACGGCTCAAATAGGGTTTTTATGTAATGATTTGAGTTTAGTGGTTTTTTTTTATTGTATGTAGGAATTCATTTAACCCAGCAATAAGAGTAATTTACAGAACCGTATTACATCCAGTAGCTTCTTATCAACCTGGGTTTATAAACAGTGTGGGTTGATTTCAGAGAAGCAGTGTGGAGTGTCCAGTCTAGCTGGATTTCTTCCAAATTTGATATTATCTTTGGAAGACCATTACCTTGTACAGTACATGCGATCAGCTGTGATTGGATACAGCTACTCACATACAGAGCCGAAGTCATCGGCTCTTTCCACTGATTGGTTGATCCACTGTGTCCAAGGGACACAGCCACACCATCGCCCGCAATGATGCACTGCTAAGCCCCCGGGGGAGCGCCACGAGCGGGTTAGAGTTGGAAGACATCAATGATGTCCCTCCAAGAACCAAAAGACCCACCGCACGTCCATCATTTTCCTTATATGGCGGGCGGGAGACGACGGTTAAAAAAATATATATCTTTTTGTATAATTCTATTAAATATGCATGATTTTATTAAAAATACACTTTTTTGATATGTTAAGATGATAATGAACTGCCTTTAAAATCCCCATCATCCAGGAGATGTGCATGTGCCAGCGGCCCAGTACGCATGCTCCGGTAATTGGACCTGCACATCCCTGGCACTTTACTGAGCCCATAACTCGGGCCACCGAGTCCCACGAGCACCACGATTTTCTTTTTCTCTGGTCCGGGTCGGGACCACCGCGGAGCCTTGTCCCCATGCCAAGACAGGTAACAGGAGGGCTTGCAGCGGCTCCCACACCAGATCCCTGTGGCGGGCAGGGACCTAAGATGGAGCCCAGCACCAGCTCCTGCGGCTTCCACTGCATCCCTGACAGACAGCACCTCTCCCTCAGCGGGCAAAACTTGGCCCTTCTCCCCCAGCAACAGGCCGGATTGTGACCATGGTAGCCTCTTCATGCTGGGGTGAGTGGACCCTCTGCGGCCCCCCCATTCTTCTCCTAGCCCTGTTATCATACCAGAGTCGGCCCATGCCTTCGGACCTGCTCACTAGGGCAGGACTCCCCAGTGTCTTCTCCGTTAGACAATGAGATGGCAGCTATCTTTTTCAGCCAGAGCAGTGGTGTGGAACCTGACCCTGATAGCCCTGAGAACTCACCAACACTACCCTCAGGCTCCACCACAATTACCCGGGAAATGCGACCCTTATCGCCTCGTTTTGCTAATCTACTACAACGCGCCATTAGATAGAGCTACTACTAGATTGGTAGCTGATCTCCCCCCCCCCCTCCCCCACCGTCCCCCCCCCACCCCCCACGCCTCCCCCCCCCATCCCCGCCCCAACCCCCACCCCCTCCCCCCCCACCCCCCACCCCCCCCGCGCCCCGCCCCCCCCCCCACCCCCCCACACAACGCCCACCCAGCCAAGCCCCCCCCCATCCCCTACCCGACCCCTCCCCCCCCTCGCCTAGCACGATCCCCTCACACCCCTTCCTCCCCTCCCGTCCCACCCCCCACCACCCCCTTCTACCTCCCCGCCGTCTCCCCCCATCCCCCCCCATCCGTTCACCCCACCGCTCCCTCCCCCCTCCCCACCCCCCCCCCTTCCCCCCAACACCCCCGCACTCCCCTCCCCCGCCCTCGAGCCACCCCTCTCACTCACGACTCCCCCGACCCCCCCAAGCCCTGCCCCTCCCTCCCCCACCGCACCCCTCCTCCCCCCCCCCACCCCCCCCCCCCAAAAAAATTTTTCCAAAAAAAACCCCTTTTTTGGAAATTGGCCTTTCCGGGGGGAAAACCCCCTTTGGGGGCCCCCCTTTTTTTTTTTAAAAAACCCCCCCCCCTTTAAAAAAAAACCCCGGGTTTTTTAAAAAAACCCTTTTTTTAAAACCCCGGGGCCCCCCCCCCCCCAAACCAAAAAACCCCCTTTCCCCCAAAAACCCAAAGGGGTTTTTTTTTTTTCCCCCCCCCCAAAAAAAAGGGGTTTCCAAATTTTTAAAATTAAAAACCCCCCCCCCCTTTTTTCCCCCCAAAAAAAGGGCCCCCAAAAAAAAACCCCCCCCCAAAAAAAACCCCCTGTTTTTAAAAAAATTTTTTTAAAAAATTTTGGGGGGCCCAAATTTTTAACCTTTTAAAAAAAAAAAACCCTCATTTTTTTTGGGGTTTTCCCCCAAAAAAAATTTTTTGGGGGTTTTTTTGGGGGGGGGGGGAAAAAAAAAGGGGGGGGGGAAAAAATAAAAAAATTTTTTTAAACCCTTTTTCCCTTTGGGTTTTTTTTTTAAAAAGGGCCCCAAAAGGGTTTGGGGTTTTAAAAAAAAAAAATTTTCCCTTTTTTTAAATTTTTTGGGGGGTTTTTTCCCCCAAATTTAAATTTTGGGGGTTTTTCCCTTAAAATTTTTTTTTTAAAAATTTTTTTGGGGAAAGGGGGGTTTTTTTTTTTTGGGGGAAAAACCCCCCCCAAAAATTTTTTAAAATTTTTTTTTTTTTTTTTGGGTTTTTTTTCCCCCCCTTTTTTTTTGGGGACCCCCCCTTTTTTTAAAAAAAAA